ATACCAACAGAGTCTAATCGGGCTAAAGAAACAATTCTGGAGAATATTCAGGTTTGGTTTGATGTGTTTTGTATGCGTTTTATTGAATGAAAGTATGAATTAGATGATATATATAATATGGACAAAACCAGATTTGGAATTGGAAGTACTCAAAGTACACGTATTATAGTCGATTCTATTCAAAAATCGAATTAGAAAGTTACAGTTGATAAGCAAGAATGGATAACTGCATTTGAATGTATCAATGCAGCTAGAAATGCTTTATCACCTATAATCATTTTCAAGGCTCAGAATACGAATTCTACTTGGATTCCAAAGGACACACCTCAAAGCTAGCAGTTCTCTACTAATACAAATGGATAGACCTCAAATAATCATGGATTAGAATAGCTAAAAAGGGTTTTCGAACCAGAATCCAAGAAAGTGTTAGATAACCAACCTCGACTTTTGATTATGGATGGTTATTCAAGTTATATTACAGGTAGCTTTATTGCTTTCTATATAAAGAAGGATATCGATTTACTTATATTACCTCCTCATTACTTTTACTTGCTTCAGCCACTTGATATTGTAGTGTATAAGCTAATGAAACGATATTATACTTTAAAGATCGATTGATATTCTCGAACTAATGTAAAGCGAATTCAAAGAGCTGAATGGATAAAACTCTTTCAAAATATTAGAAAAAAAGTACTGAATTCTTCTAATATTAAAACTAACTGGAGAGAAGCTAGTTTAATATCTTTTGCCCTACGAAAAATACTCGATTCATTATCATTTAACTCCTTTTAGCAATCTTCTATTCTATAAATAAGAACCCCCAATCAAGATCTAAATTTATCTATACTCAAAAGCTCTTTTTCAAATGGGATAAAGCTAAGACAAGCAAATCAGATCTTTAATAAAACTCTAATAGATAATAATTCTCTTGTATCACCAACTTATCGATATATTAAGAGAATGATTAGACTTATAGAATCTCAAAATACTAAGATAACCCTATTTCGAAAACAGCTCACTAATACTCAAAAAGTAATTGAGATTCGAAAGAAGAAAACTAAAAACAAAAAAATCAAATTACAAGATCAATTTATCTTTAATAATAAGGAAATACTAAAAATGATACATAAGGTGAAGGAAAAACCTAAGGAGAAAAAGCTATGAGGATGATTATATAAATATCTAATTGAAGAATTAGAAAAGGAGACTGAAGAAGAAGAGTTAGAGAATAATTCAAGTAATTTAAAGTTGGAATTGGATAAATATATAGCTTGTAGAACAAGATTACATAGAGAGAATTGAATTTTGTGACCCAGTTTCCCATATGACCCGGTTCACCATAAGTTACGTTAATTTTTGATTTTTGAAATTTCTTTTATAAAACTTGATTAATATTCTATTAAATTAATAGGTGGTTTAAAAGTTAAATAAATAATGGTTTTTGATATATTTTTGCTTAATATATATAATAAATGATAACTCAAATTCTTAATATTGAAGGATACCTAATAATTGAAGTAGCTTACAATACAAGGACTGCCTTGTCTCGAAAGCAAGAAGAGATGGAACGGGACATGAGGATGATTACCATGAACTGTACATAGAGAACATCCATCGCCAGCATTTCAACATCCAGGGTGAGGATATACAGTGTTCTGAAAACTTTTTCACATCACCGATTTCATTCTTCACAATAATCTCAAAACCTCAAAAACCCAAATCAAAAAAATCATCATACTATATTCTCATTTTCCCATCCGGAGTCTGATGGTTCACTCGCATAGTAACAAACTATTTCGCAGCAACTAACTATCACAACCCCTCCCTGCCTTCCTTGGTCTTCCCCACTCTAAATCACATATGCAATGCTACCCCCTATCACCATCCTTCACCCCTTCACGTCCCCACCTCTAATTTTTCTTCGCACCCTTCAACCCCAACTCCCTATAAAACGCTTCGGTACTAGGTTTCCTTCCCAAGAACGCCTCCAACGTAGTCATTTCATCCTGACTTCCACCCTTCTCAAGCACCATATGTCTATATCTCCTTCCCTCCTTAGGATCCATTGGATTCTTTTCGAAAACCGTGTAGAACATATCTGCACTATAGACTTGACTAGACAAGTATCCATAATAACCTGCATCATACCCACCAATCAAATGACCAAAAGTAGCTTGACCATTGCCCCAATCACTCTTTGCACCCAGAGCTTCTGGACCTTTGAGACCACAGATTTCTGCCCTAAGTTCATTATACAATTCGCTGATTTTGAAAGCTTCAGCTTCTGCGTGGTTCTTAGGAGTATGAACTGTCATATCGAAGATACCAAAGTGGAGTTGACGGAGATTGAAAAGAGCGCCGTTGACATGCTTGGTGCTAATTTGTTTGGCAATTAAATCATCTGGAATAGATTCACCAGTGATGTAATGTTTACTCAATTTTTGCAATTGACTTGGAGTCCAACACCAATTTTCCAACATTTGACTTGGTGCTTCGACAAAGTCACGTACGGTATTTGTACCGTGGAAACGAGAGTATCTGGTACGACCAGCTAGATCATGGATACCATGACCCAATTCATGGAAGAGGGTAACAACCTCATCGTGTTTCAACAGTGATGGTTTCTTATCAGTTGGTTTGGAGAAATTGCAGACGAGTGCTGTAGCCGGATATCTTCTTGTACCATCTGGATAGTAGAAACCGGATTGAATGCCAAAGTTTGCAGCATGACCATATTTTCCTGGACGTGGATGCAAGTCCAAGTAAAGATAACCAACAAATCCACTACCTTCACCTTCATCATCCCAAACGGTAAAGAGTTTAGCATCTGGATGAGGTAAAACATCAGAACCCTTTCCAGTTGGTGAAACCTTAGCTAATTCCTCCTCGCTGCTAATATCAACAAAGACGAATCCAAACAACTCTTCAAAGATCTTAAGCATTCCTTCAATTGTAGATTGAAGAGGGAAGTATTCCGCAATCTTATTTTCATCGATGGAAAACTCATTCTCCACCATCATTCGATCATAGAATCGATTATCCCAGAGATAATAATTATCATCAAATGTCGAACTCAATCCTCTAGCATCCAAATCTTGTTTCTTGAGAGCTTTGAGATGTTCGACTTCCTTAGCTCCACCTGGAGTAAGCTGAAGCTTCAAATCATGCAAAAACTCATTAACCGTAGCAGGAGTCTTCGCCATCTTATCCTCAATCCTGAAGCTTGCATGATCAGGATAACCCAATAATCTAGCAGCCTCATCTCTAAGAACAATAGCTTCCTTGAACAATTCCACATTCTCTTTGCATTTGTTCTCATTCTGAATAAAGACTTGTTTTCTGGTTTCCGCATCCTTCGCGAACTTCAACGTGGGAAACAAATCAGGGTATTTGAACGACAACCTCAATTTTCCCTCATTTTCGCCCTCACCCTTCTTCAATCCCGAGATGACATCCTCAGGAACTCCGTCAAGTTCCTTTAATGTGAACCAAATTCCCTCATCCTCCTCATTCAAGTTCTTCTGGAATTTAGTCGCAATAGCAGCCAACCTCTTGCTAATCTCCTTGAATCTATCCCTCTTCTCACCCTTCTCAAGCCCCAATCCATTTCTAATATATCCTTTGTATTCCTTCTCCAACAGTCTCTTCGATTCCGGATCTAAATCTTCTTTCTTCTTGTAAACCGCATCGACCAATTTAAAAACATCTTCTCTCATCGCCATCTCAATCTGCGCTTCATCCATGATTTCCTCCGCTTTCGAACTCGCATCGCGGAGTTTCGAATCGCCAGAGACAGCTTGGTAGAAGGTAAGCACGCTGATTTGAAGCGAATCAAGATCATCTTGGTTGGCGGTAGGCAAGAGAACATTTGCGAATGTTGCATCTTCCGGTTTGACGTTGGCAACGATATCGTCGAGCATTTTTCGATAGTTATCCATCAAGGCCTTTGCCTCGTCGACAATCTGGGATTCGGTGTGGGTGAAGAGAGGAGGAGCCTGAGGAGGCTTTTGATATTGAGAAGGTGCCATGGTTGCGGTGGTGATGAGACGTGTTGAGGTTGGATTGATGGTGGTTGCGAGAGGGGACCAGAGGGGTCTTGTATTTGTAGGTCGGAGTTGACTAAATAAAGCTCCCAGTCTGGGTCCAATCCTTGAGGTAGCCAGAATGACAGATATGGAAAGAAAGATGAGCAGTAGTACACAGAGGGAACGTATGATACGTGTGGTGGAAGCCAGGATGAATGAAGTTGGTTGGGTATTAGAATCCCTTGGTGGTTAATTAGGCGTTTAAGAGCTGTCAAGAATGGAAGGTATGACAGATATGTTGGTGGGGAAGGGAGCGTGGGAGCGTGGGTAGGTAGCTTTGGGTGGATATGATGGACGTATTGAGTCAGTGAATAAGTGAGTGAGCGTGTGAGTGTATGTACTTATTTATAACCTTGGGCGAATCAAAAAGTACTCAAGATGGACTTTTGAAAGATAGGAGTGGTGGAGAGGCAAATGAATTCTTGATAATGTTCGATTCCAGAATTCCAACAGTACGGAGTGTCAAGGGAGTACCAGCTTATCAGATCAAAATTCAGGGTCGTATGGTACCTAGGTACCTAGTATGCTATGAATGCGGAAAGCAAGGGTTATTCATACCCGAAAATATGGGGTACCGGTACCCAGGTAGTTTGACATGGCAAGTGACAAGTGAATCAACGTCTTTACTATCTAGAAGTCAATTGGAACCTCAGCTTTCCTCTATTTCCATCTATGGCATATCAATAGCCATAATTCTATAATATAAACATCTCCTCCCTCCCATACAATACAATCTCCCCAACAACACAATCTCCCTAACAACACAATCTCTCCAACTCCCTCTCCCTCTCCCTCTCCCTCTCCCTCTCCTCATCCTCCTTCCCCATTCTCACTCCCAAACTCCCACCCCCGTCCCAAGAACCTCAGCATCCCCTTCCACCCCCTTCTTCCCACTCCTAATAACCGCCGTACTCATCAACGACCCCTCAACAAATACAAAATCTTTCCTTCGAACTCCCCCTCCCCTTCCCCCTCCCCTTCAACTTCCTTCCTCTTGGCACCCCCAGTCCCCTCCGCCCAAACTTCATACCCAACCGCCACCGCACACCGTCCACATTTCCACACTCCTCTCTTCTCAAACCCATCTTCCTTCCGTACAATCACCTGCTTACTAGGTTTCGTAAGTGCAAGAAGATTGGTATACCCATAACTTGGTAACGAATCCTGCTCATCATCATCCTTCACGTCCTCTCCATCGTCCCTCTCTCCTTCCCTCCCCTCTCCATCCTCCGCAGATATCCCATCTCGAGTAACATCCATCGCATTTCCATCCCCATTTCTCTCCCTCTCCCCTCCAAACCTAGACACCACCCCCGAAACCGGCAAAATAAAACTCCCATCTCCCGTCCCTTTCCTCTTCGGAAGCGTCGAAATTGTATGCGTTGTTGCCAGCAGAAGATTCGTACAGTAAGCGCAATGATACGTATTAATTTTGGGGGGAGACATTGTGCGATGTGCGATTGTGCGATTGTGAACTTATGAACTTGCGAACTCGTGAGCTTCTGAATCGTGAGCTTCAGAACCAATCGTGAACTTGCGAACTTACAAACTTATAAGCCTCCTCCTAATCTATAAGCCTCCTCCTAACTCACAAACCCGTGAACCCGTGAACCCGTGAACCTCCAAACTCGTAAGCCTACAACCCTACAACCCCCAAACCTCCTCCCTTCTCTCTCCAAATCCAAATCCAAATCCAAACTCAATTCTCTCCAACCAATATGATTATCAAATTTCAAACAATCGAATCGAGAATATGATACATATAAATGTAAATATAAATGTAAATATAAATGTAAATATAAATGTAAATATAAATGTAAATATAAATGTAAATATAAATGTAAATATAAATAAATTCCAAGTATCGTTATATCATATTATATCATATCGTATCATATCGTATTATATCGTATTATATCGTATTATATCGTATTATATCGTATTATATCGTATTATATCGTATTATATCGTATTATATCGTATTATATCGTATTATATCGTATTATATCGTATTATATCGTATTATATCGTATTACATAGTATTATAAATATAAATACCTACGAAGATAAGAAAGAAATACTCATATATTAAATTTAACCAAATTTACAACACAGAAATACTAGGTACAGTATCCGTACAGCCTCGAAACTCAACACTTCAGCCTTCTCTTGAGATGGAACCCAATCACATCACATCACATCACATCACATCACAACTAGCCTTGATTGATGAAACCAAAATCATTAACATACTAGGTAAGTAAGAGGTAAGCTAATCAATCTCCAATTAGAACAACACTCACTCATACATTCACACTCTTCATCATATCACATCAACATCTACGATACACACTTCAATATCATCTCGAAAAAAATCATGATATCCATTTCTGCCTTTGCAGGCCTCAAAGTTCATTCAACGCCATAGCCATCCATAGCCATTATCAATACGGTATCCTTCCACTCCACAGCTCCTATTTATGCCGTCGCGAAAAAGTAATTCCTACAACTGTTATGATATCTTCGTTCCTCTCCTTACTCGTATATCTCCGACTCTCTTTCTCCCTGCCTGTCCCCATCGCATCTCCGCTCATCTCCCTGTAATATTTGCAACCCTCTACCATAACGAAGTATAACATCTAGTTTGCGAGGATTGTTCGTACGAGATCTATTGTCCTTATATTAGCTTTCCGTAGTCCCATTGCATCTCCCCTTCCTATTATATCTTCTCCAAGAAATCCCAAAAACCCACCAGTATAGTTAATCTCCCCACTACTGGTATCAACCGCCTTTAACAATTCATCAACCTCCTCATCACTCATTTTCTCTCCCAAGTTCGTCAAGATGTATCTCAACTGTCCGACTCCAATAAATCCTGTCATATCCTTATCGAAAACCTGGAAACCACGACAATATTCCTCTGGTTCACCTGGGTCGCGGAATCCACCTGGTCGGTTGAGAATCTTGGAGAAGGTTTCGAAATCGACTGCGAGAACATGTTGTTAGTATAGACTCTATAATTTGATTGTGGAAAGAATCCCCATAGCTCTCTGCACTCCACGACAGTAATTCGCCGAATATCAAAATCGAGAAACCATCCTCAACCCCTACCCATAATAACAAACAAAATAAACTCACATTCACCACCAACATTCTTCTCCAACTCTCTAATCTCATTCAAGGTAGGATTCTGACCACACGCTCTCAACAAATCTCCAAGTTGATCCAATTGCACACGCTGAGTACCGCGTTTATCGAAAAGTTGAAATGCTTCTCTGTAGTTTGTGGAGGCCTGCGCATCGTATGGAGGATTAGTTGATGACATTTTAGACAAGTGCAGGAGTGATATTGCAAAGAGAATAGAAAGAGTTGTAGAGTAAAGTGATGTGATGTGATATGATGTGATGAATGAATGTCCTTGTTGTGGTGTACAAATTGTGTTGATTTCCCGCGACGTAGTATCATGCGCCGAGAGATCGAATGGTGAATAAACAAACACAAACTGGCCGTTGACACTCCCCGGCCATGATTGCTTTTGCAACCGTAGAATGAGCGGGCAGTAACAAACCAGAAGGAGAACCAGCAAATCGGAAGCAACGCTCATTGATTGGGACACCATTTCAAGCAAGGAATGGAATGGAATGCATGTGGAAGCTTGTCATGGGAATCGAAACAAGGGATAGAAAACTCACCATTTTGATTGTGATTCTGGGTGTTTTCCTTGCGAGTGGTATGAAAATTGAAGATATATCAATGTAGGATCTGTGAATGGAGGAGGTATGATTAGAAGAAGAGAGATTGTAGGTCTAGAAATCTGATAACTTTGGTCCGTGCCTATTATTATGTTTATGCCAGCCAACCTCTCATCTATTTTATTCGTTCTCGATGTGTTGTTCCTTCAGCATAATAATAATTATAGTGGACCAAAGTTAAATTTTGGCAGGGCAACCAGGATCATCAGCCTCCCAATCATTCGAAAATGGTATAAAGGGGTCTCAGCGAGGGGTCTCCCGGTGAGTGGTATTGTTTTTTCTCAAAAACTTTAACTATAGATAATAATATACCAGAATCCCAATTCTTCAATAGATTTCTCGCCGTTTCAAAAGGTACTTACATGTTTGAATTTACCTATGATGAGATTGCATCAAAAAGTGACGAAACAACAAAGTCTCCCTTGATTGACATGATGGGCGTAAAGAGTTTTTATATACTTTGACATCCCGAGTTCCCTCGATGTAAAAAATACCTCTGTCTGATGCTTCATATATTTGTATATACTAAGTATTCGTTCATTCTATAATCCTATTCAAAGTTACATAATACCATGATTCCAGATAATATGAGTATTCTCTCCATGGACCGGAGAGTCTGGTTAACAGGACGACTGATGAGTACCATTCAGATAACATAAATGGTATATTAAAGTTGTTGTCATGATATGAAGAGATTTACTGAATCTCGGGTACGAAGACTACATGCCATTGTAGAAACAATGAGTAATTATACTCTGCTTCATTCACTCTATATAAATGTTCGTGGAGAGGAGTTGATCTATCACGAAGCATTACACCCAATATCTTATATCAAGACTCATCCAGAAGAACTCATTTTCATCACCCCCTATCAATCCCTCCTATTTTTTCCTCGCCAACAAAATCACTGTTCCCCACTCCGTCTCCACCTCTACATCCCTCCAATCCTCACCCTCCTTCCCTCTCAACTTCGGTTCTACCTTTAACATCTCCTCAAACATCTCATCAATCACATCACCATTCCCCTCCTCTCCCACTTCCCTTTTCTTCCTCTCCTGATTCTCCCTCTGCCACCCATGAAACGCACTAAACGTCCTCCAATACCCCTCCAACTCCACCAACTTCATTCTCCTCCCCATCACCACCCCTCCCTCTCCAATCCCCTTCCCACTCCTCGTCCCCTTCAACCCCGGCTCATACCTCCCCCATTCCACATCCTTAAACACATCCCCCAACGGCCTCATCACCTCATCGCTATACAACCCCCTCAATCTCTCCCTCCCCGGCTGTTCCCAAAATCTCCCCATATACCTCTCCCCCTCCCCATAACAAAACCGATCCAACACCTCCGTCGCCTTGGGAAAATCCACCAACAAATTATCCTTATACCCCCAAAACGCCACCGTCCCCCCCTCCCTCAATTTCCTCCCCACCGTCCTCCACACCCCCGGAAAATCAAACCAATGCGCCGCCTGTCCCGCAACCACCATATCCAAACTCCCATCCTCGACAAAATCTAGATTTTCCGCTGACGCTTGTCTCCACTCTATATTCCCCTCTGCATCATTTTCTGAGGCGATTTTGCGCGCTTGATTTATCATTACCGCGCTGGGATCCGTACCATACACTTTTTCGAAATGGGGAGCAAGCGCTCGACTTACAACTCCATGACCACATCCTAGATCGAGGAGTGTAGAGCGTGGCCCGATGTGATAGTTTAGGGTTTTGGTATAGAAACTCTGGGGATAGGAGGGACGGAATGCGGCGTAGGAGGCTGCGGAAAAGGTTTTGTGTCTATGGATTGAAGGTTAGTGTGAAGGAATGTAGAGGATAGAGGAAAACTCACGCAAATGCAGCCATCTTGGGTACTTTGTGAATGGCTTGAAGAAAATAAAAGTCCTTGGGAGTATAGATATCTCGTCTGTAACGATCTACCAATCTGTAATGAAATCCACCGGCAATTCCTTACCAATTGACCCAATATTTTCAATTACCCTTGATTGCTCAGGTGACTATATCACTCCTGTCTCTTTCTTTCTCTCTTTCCTTCTTTCTCTCAACACCTTCTCAATCACCAATAGAACGAACCAAACCAAACCAACCCAAAAATCCAATCAATCTTCAAATCCTATACACAGTAACCTTATTCCTCCAACCGTATATATAATATAATATAACAAATAAACACCAAACTAGGTAATAACAATATCTTTTCACAATCACAATCAACAGTACACATCCGCCCAATATTTATATCTTCATCTTCATTTTCTATCCAAGATATGACATCAATCGCACCTATCTAGTTCCCCTCCCCATCCAATCCTACTTCTTATCCGACCAACCAACCGACCAACCGATAACCCCTCTCCGATCCAAACAAGCGATACCGCATCTCTTATTTGCGATATCGGATTCGGGATTTCTTTGTGAAGTAAGTGAGTGAGTGACCTCACTGTTCTCATGTAATTATATACAAAGTATCATCTAGCTACTAAATAATTTTACAGCAAATTTTATATTAGATACCTAGGTACCTACCTATCACCCTACCCAATCATCCCATCCCATCCCATCTCAAACCCAAACCCAAACCCAAACCCAAACCCAACCCCTAAATCCAGAATCAAAACATTCAAATATATATCATAATATCCCAACTACCAAATTACCGAATATCTCCCTCTTCTTCTATTCCCATCACATTCATCACATTCATCACATTCATCACATTCATCATCTCACCTCATAAAATAACAAGAGTTATTCAAATATCTAAGCACCTCTCTCTAGATAGCTATCTACGGTATCTAATATAGATTCCTCTAAAATATATATTCAATATCGTGAGGTGAACGGAGGAGCTTAATTGAGAGATGGAGATTCAGATGGAGATTCAGATGTAGATTCAGATGTAGATATAGATGTGAATATAATTACTAAGTACTGATTATGATTATCTCTCTTGCTTTGAGGTGTTTACTTATATTACTTCGACGTGCTATAATATTACCTCCTCCTCCCCTATTTCCATATATTATCATTTCATCTCATCTCATCTCACTCACATACCCAAATCCTACCAACTCCTCTCCACCCTCCCCTCCGCTTCCTCCCCTAGAATCTCTACACCCACCACCCACCCCTTCAAAGTTTCACCACCCCCCTCTCCCTCAACCACCCCCCATACCTAAAAAACAATATCGGCACTGGAAAAAAAGCCAACGCTATAAATCCCAACACACTATTCCCCCAACCCAATCCCAAAGCCGAGTATAAAGGCTGACCAGCTAGCGGTAAGAAAGCTCCCCCAATCGATTGGAAAACTTTTGTTGCTGCGATTGCCGACGCGGCGTAGGTAGGGAAACTATCAACTAGGTACATATTTATCGAGAGCTGGGTTTTGAATTATTAGCACGCGCTTATTTATTTACTCGCAAGGAATGGAAAATAGGGGAAATAAGAAATAAGCGGAGAATAAGAGGAAGAGATAAGAGACGTACAAAAGCAGGAATCATCCCAATCCCAAAGAAGCTCGTCCCGATAATCGGCACAATCCAATGAATCTGCGCTTGCGCCGTCCATCCATAAACAAAAAGCGAAATCGCTATCAGCGGACTCGTCAGCATCAGCGTAGGCAATCGATATTCCGGTTCGGCAATCCCGCCATTCTTTTCCGTCAACCGTTTGAAAATCGGATCCGAGACTTTTCCCGATACGAAAAGCCCAATGGCAATCCCGCACCCAAGACCCAGATACGAAAGCCCGGTAAGTGAAACGGAAAAATGATATTGGTTGGAAAAGGTGAATGGAAATGTCGTGATGAATAGATACAAGTATCCGAAAAGAACGGCATAGTATACGGAGAGAAGAAAGACGATTGGTGAACGAAATAGCGTCTTCAACGGTCGGACTATAGCATTAGTGAAATGCACCATTGGCGTATCTGCATGATGCAGCGCCGAAACTTTTGCCAGATTTCCCGTCTCCTTAATAATCCGTCTCGTCTTTCTCTCCAAGATCACCACCGGATAAGTTTCCTGCAGGAGAAAAAATCCTCCAACCAACGTCACACAGGCAATAATAGCTTCCAACCAAAAAGCCCATCGCCATCCCGCGTTTGCAGCAAGTACACCTCCTATAATTGGTCCGACTATCGGTCCCATCAAAGGTCCCATTCCCCAAAGAGCCATTGCGAGTCCGCGCTGATCTCGATGGAACATATCGCCGATACTTGCGCCGCCGAGTGCAGTAGGCGCTCCTCCAGCACATCCTGCCAAGAATCGAAAGACTACAAGCATATTGAGACCAGTTGACAAACCGCAGCCAAGAGTGAATATCAAGAACAAGAAATTGGCAGTCAAATAAACTGGTTTCCGACCATACAATTCTGACATGGGCGCAGCAATAATGGGACCGGCGGCAAAACCGAGGACAAAGATTGAGACGACGAGAGTTTGTAAAATCATATTCGTAGATTGAAATTCTTCCATCACGAGAGGAACTCCAGGGGCAAACATGGTGGATGCAAGAGGACTGTAGAGAATTAGCAAATGTGAGTGAAAGAAGGAGGGAATCACTTACGTGGAGAAAGTCATGACAGAGATAACTCCCGTATTGGCCCATCTCTTAGTATTAGACCAATTCATAGGATTCAATGCATCAGTATCACTATCCCAAGATACAACATTAGAAGGCTCTGGACCTCTCAATTGCCGAGTAAGATTTTCATCAGCTCTATCTGGAGCTGTGATAGCAGTACCCATTTCAGCATCAGATGCGCCTTGATATGCTGTATCTAGTGGTGAAAGTGGTCGAGGAGGTGAAGCAATTATGGCGGAAACATCATCGCCACTACCTAGATCGCCAGACTCGACTGATACATTGTTCGACATGATGAAATTCGGATTGAAGGCGCGAAAGTAATGAAGTAGATAGAGTAGAAGCAGGAAATTGAGTCAGTTGCACTGCGATTTGTGTTGTTGTCGCTATCCATCGAAAGTGAAAAAGAACGTGTGGGTAGAAGCAAAAGAGGTAAAGAAACCAGATGCAAAAGCGAATCTAAATTAATGATTCTCAATTGAAAATGAACTTTTGAAGTCTGTTGAAAGTGACCATAACAAAATGAAGGAGAAGATAAGTGAAGAAAGGAAATTTTACTTCACAGCTGAATATTCCCCCAATTAATGAATCTTCGCCATCGGTATCGGGTTATTTTCATCGCGGGACGGAAAGAAGGTATTTCGTGACAAAAGAAGCAATAAACAATTGGCCACACATGCATCATATTTGGAAAGAATTGACTGAATAGGAAGATTGTTCGTATGACGAGATCCATTGGACCCTTGAAGTTCATAATACTTGAGAGGAGATTTCATGATTGCCTTTTCTTTCTATCGTTGTCGAATTATGAAGAATAACTAGAGATCCAATACATCCAATTTGTAGGAAAGACATTTAATTAATAATTGTACACTCGTTCAGATGATTCGATAGCGAGACCTTGGTAGCTATGTGCCCGATTCAGTTGTTGATTCAGGGGTTACGGGAATACAAAGTACAATGCAATACAAGATACGATTCTCAATCAATATTGTCGTTCTTCTGTACTACTTACTCATATACCAAGCAGGGCTTTGAGTATATAGTTCGATGGGTGATAAGCTTCATGTGTATATTCAGCTACTGCATTGAAATTTGTGGGAACTCAAACGGCGACAGTGATATTGCATTGCTAGAGCTGTACTCAGAGATAGACTCCGCTCATTGTGATGGTTTAGGTGGATAACATATATCATCTGCCCTAGTAACTTTCTCGTCATAACCATGATAGAGAAATGAAGGATACTGGATGTATATCTTACTTTGGAGTGCTTGTATACAAGAGGAAGGACTGGACTACAAACTTCTTGCTCTCATTGAAGCTTTTGCTTTAAAGATCTAGTATCACCGAGAAGCTGTCTTATCTCAAAGCTTGTGCAACAAGACTGTGTTAATGGAGGTTTGTACACTGATGAGTTTTCAGGCCAAGATCTGATGTCTGGCCCTCGTGGATTATAGTCAAGATGGAACCGCTTTCATGGAGACACTCATCGCCATTCCCTTGGAATGATTAAGTAAATGAATGAAGCTATTCATGTCCATCTCTGTAGATTTCATAGAAGTATCTAATTCTTGTCGAAGCCGGAACTCACCATTTAAGTTATATGGTGAAAAACAACGGTGACGGCTTGCCAGATATGATTTTTAAACATCGCGAATATATCAGGCCAAGATTGTAGTTACTCCAAGTTGAGACCTATCCCTACGGATGTTTCTAAGGGCTCTCCTGATTTTGAACCAATCTATATTTCAAATATAAGATGGTATGTGAAACAAACGTAACATGTTTAATGGATGTCACCCTCATTATAGTCCAGGTCAACTACCCCCTCCTCACAACTTCAAATCTCTACCAGCAGCCTTAGCAGCTCTCTCTCCATCAACCAAAACGCACCAGCCCTCCCCTCCCACAGTTCCACCCTCCTCGCCCCCAACCCCACCCTCAAACTCTTTCAAAGCAAATCCTAGAATCTCATCATCATATGTTCCAGGCTGCAACCACACACTCTTGATCCCCAAAGCTTTTGCCTCCTCCAAGACTTTCTTTGTGATTTTGGGAGGAGTGATGATAGAGACACCAGTCTCGGTTGGATGGGGAAGAGCGGAGATTGAGGGAAGAGTGGAGTAATCGGTGGAACCGACTTTAATGGCGGGGGAGGAGGGGTTGATGGGAGTTGCTGGAAGACCGTGGGCCGTATACCATGCGAATACTAAGGGGAGAATAGTTAGCTCAAAGCTTCAGGAATTGGAGATGAACACTTGTATTCAGGAATGGTGGAGGAAATCATAGTAAATTACTTTTGTGTCCAAACTTTGCAGGGTCTGAAGAGGCGCCAACTACAGCGAAGTAAGGGGAGGAGAAGAATGTACGAGCGGCTGCTTCTGTTGCCATTTTTCTTAGCATTAAGAATATTGAATCTTGTAGAAAAGTATAAGAGGGGTATCAAAAGACAAGAATTAATTGCTTATGTATGGAAATGCGTTGATAAGACGGAAACTCGGGTCCCAAATTGAATGACACCATTGATATCACAATTTGATAAAGCTCCATGAGGAAGGTTGTCGCTGATGCCTCGGCTATGATAGGAAAGAAGGAGTGCACGGGCTTGATTTTGATCTACAATCTGTCATGTCAGCTCCATTGTTTTGGAGACGACAACATGATCATTTATTCGAGACATGAACGTAGAAATTCTTGAATTATCTATAATTCCTACATGGGGTTTCTGACTCCCTCATCCATGATCACGATAAAAGATTCTCCTCAACTTTCTATGAACACACCCAATATATGCAAGAGCAAACCCGAACCTAGCAGAAACATCTTTGGATTCTCAAAGGATGTCTGTCAGGGGTGATATATCTTCAAAATCTCACCACACATATCGGGGTACTGTTATCATGATGAGACAGAATTTCAATGATAATCTACACCTCAACTACCTCGTTGAGCTCGAAAGAGCTAGATTAGATCATCAAAGGGTCTAATGAAAGACTGGTGTAAATGAGGAAGAAAAGAAGAGCAAAATCTGCAAGTCTGATCGATAGATCTCAAGCTGGCCTTACAGAAAGACAATGGATTTGGAAACAAGGGAGGTGGATCAATGAACTGGGAGATACCACTTATATACCCTATACCTGGCCAATATATGAAATATTGGAGGTCAGCCCGCACTGATCGTATTGCTAAGGTTAATTTTCTTTACACACATACCAGCACTATCTAATTCATAGTCGCAAAACATCAAAATGTCCGGGTACACGTCCCGTAATTTAGTATCGAGGTGAGCAAGGTGACTTATTGGTGAATGCTCGCTTCAATTCAACCGAGTCCCTCATCAAATTATCCGAGTCCGAGCAGCTACCGCGCCAGTGCGGCACATCCAAGATGAAACGTGTCGATCATTCCAAACGCGGCTGCCACGGTTTGGGTTGATCTGAATTGAAAATTCCCCTTTTAGTATTAGACTTTAAACCTCGAGCTAGGTTTTGATCGCTGCAGGGGTTACGATTGGATCAATATGGTATATTTCGGGAGTCTTGGGAAGCTAACTCGTCTGAAAATGCAAGTGCATGAATTTAAGCCCTACGGAATATCAGAAAATTAGCTCATATTCGCGTCAATGGGAGTTATAGGAGAATTGGAGCGTATGAGATTGTATGTGATGCGGATTCAAATCGGATTCCTCATGCGGTGAGGCGCAGTTGGGGTGTATGAAATGGTTGTTCGTCTCGACTTCGAGTTCATTTACTTGTACGCATTGTCCACGAATTTCTCTTGGTCTTTCGGATATTTTCAATGACATTTATGCCTTTGATTTAATTATTTTCTTATTTTTTCTATTATTGACATCTATCCTTTAAGACTGCTAGACCGTCAATTGGGTTTCTAGATCTGTTTCTTGTGTAGTGTTTTTTTCCTTCTATTTTCAAAGTCATTCCTTTACCTTACATTTTATAGACGGTTTTTGAGAAATCGCGCGACATTCATTTAGAATTTTGAGATTGAGAGAAAAGGAGAAGAAAAGAGAATTTAAATCGAATTATTTTACACGATTCGACGACTGTACAAGAGAATTCAATCAGAAATACATGAAGGGAAATACAACAAAGATAGACGATCCTAAGAGGCAATTGGCATCGAACCGATCAAACGAATTGCGAGAACGCTTAGCAGCGAACGGGAATCATGGCAACTATAACTGAACCACAAGCCGTTCTTCAGAAATCGGAACATTCACGAAAAGGGGATGACGAAGGCGGAATTGACGATGGAATGAAAGGGAAATTGAGGAGGGATACTATCAGTGGAAAATTAAAGTTTTGGGCCGGAAGTAATGCGAATGCGAAAGAGAAGAAAGTTGAGGGATTCCCAAAGATGGATGAAGGGACTTTGAAAACATTTGTGGAAAAAGTTACGCCTTTTGATTTCGAAAAGGACATGGGAGACTGGGATGATGAGAAATTTAGTCATGATTCAAGTATGGATCCTTGGTATGTATTCTATTGTTATTTGCCATTTTTGTGCCGAATCAAACGTGTTACAAGATCGTTAAAGAAAGTTATACTAACACGCTACAGAACTGGTGCCCTCATCGCAAAAATCTTGCATTCTTCGCCCTCTGTCTTGCTTTCTCAATAGTAGGCATGCAACGCCTAATGTTCGTTTCCGTAAATGCAGTCATCACTGCACAGTTCTCGATCTCATCTACTCAAACCGCATCGTTGACAGGAATTGCATTCATTTTCTCTGCAATCAGTAGTCCGTTTTGGGAAATATTGAATATGAAGGTGGGAAAGAGAGGAATTTTCATTTTTGCCGCGGCTTTGATGCTGGTCGGCAGTTTGTGGAATATGCATGTTCAGAGTTATGGTCAATTTTTGGGAGGTAGAATAATGCAGGGAGTAGGATGGGGAGCTTTTGAAGCGTTGGTTGGAGGTGCGATGGCAGAAATGTATTTTGTGAGTATTACCCTATGGCCTTTTTCTGTTGAATTACTAGCTCTGGAAGCGAGAAAGGCTTAAAACCCAGGGATATTATTCAAACGCATAGAATTATACTAACAAAAATAGGAATCACAACTCCCACTTCGTCTAACAATCCTCTCAATAATCGACGTCTTTTTCACATGGGGAACCCCTATTATCGGCGGTTATCTAAGCCAGACAATTGATGGTTACGGAAACCAAATCATGGTGATGAATGTCATCCAAGCCATTTCGATATTTCTTTTACTTATCGCCTTTCCGGAAACATCTTTCTACCGAACTTCTCATCCCACTCCTCCTACATCTCCCCCTACCATCTCCATCAAATCTTGGTGGAAAACATTACATCTCATGCCATATTGGGGTAACCCGTCCAAAGAGGATTTACTAAGACCACTCAAGAAACTCGCCTCTCCCATCACACTTCTTACATTCGTCTTGGCTTCATTACCAATAGCATCCGCATACGCATTTGCACTAAGCCTTTCAAGTTTCCTCTCCGCTTCGCCTCTATTCATCTTCCCAAGCCAAGTAGGATATATCTTCATCGGACCCTTTGTTCTCTCCCTCATCTCCTACGCTCTCTTATCCATCGTCTCCCCCGGAAAACCCATCCTTCCTTCTTCCGAAAAAGCCCTAGGCGGAACCTCAACCAGCGCTCTCCGTATCGCAATTCCAGGCCTCATCCTCTTCACCACAGGTACCGTCGCCTTCTCTCAATACGTATCCACGACACTTATTCCCCAAGCCACCAAAGTCAGCTCCACCGTCTTTGTCGTCTCAACTCCAGGCATGGAATGCAGTCTCAAAGTGATCAGTCTAATCTTCGGGATCTTGGTTGCAGGAGCCGCGATCTTGGGATTCGCGGTGGAGAGATATTTGGCGATTCAGCAGGGTGTGGATGATCATGGGAAGGAGGAGGGTCAGAGAGGAAGAGGGGGATTGGATAGAGCACATGCGGTCTTGCAGAATTTGTTTACGGGGTTTTTGATCATTGCGATGCCGAGTTGGATAGAGCAGGGGATGGGGGAGGAGATGGGGGGAGTGATGGGATTGAAGGATACGGGGTTGGGGGTGGGAATTTTTGGGTTTGTAGGTGGAGTGGCGGTGGTGGTTGGGTTTGTGGGTGGTGGGGGGGAGGATTACGGGGGGAGGTGCTGGGAGGAGGAGAGAGGAAGAGGGGATTTATAGGATTAGGGATTTGCAGGTTTAGAGGTTAAAATGGTGGGGAGTTTAGTTGCCGAAAACAGAAGGCGGGATTGTATTGTATCGATTGGATTGGATTGGATAGACTGGATTGGAATGGATTGGAATTGGGCGGCATAAATTGGGATGGGGTATCGAAAGATTGGTATAGGAGTTATGGAGTATGTATATATTAACCAGTTGATCTGATATATATAGTAGTAGTAGTAAATTCATAATCGATTCGATCTATACAACTATACTAAAACCATGCGATACATTTATATATAGTTCTAATTGATTTTAAGATAGATAGAAAAAGAAGAATAAAAAATCATCCTCTTCCCGAACTTCTCTAATAGAACCCTTAGGCAACCTTTTAAGCAATCTTTTCAAATTCTTCAAGCCGTTTATATTGTATACTCATTCTATTCAAAACCCTTTTATTTATAAATTCCCTAATATATCTATAAAAACCCTATGCTTTCTATTCTATTACAATAATCCCCCTTTTTCTATCCAACTCCTTTTGAATATTATAAAAGCTATAATTAATTATAATATCGTATTCCTTTCAAAAAATTATCTTTACCCTTTAATTCTTTGAGTTTTCTTTAGAGAATTATTGCTTTATTATAATTCCCTAATCTATTATTTATAAGTCTTATATTTACCTTTTTTTATGATATATCAATAATATATAATTTCTTTTTAATACCTATTATCTCCTATTCCCTTTTATTTTATTAGCTATTCTATGAGTATAAGAAATATAGAATTATATTAGGTTTTACTATATCATCCTATCAATACAGAGAATAAAACTATATTACAAAATTAAATAATTGAATAGAATTGAAATAGTAAATATAATAATATTAGGATATTATTGCTTTAGTAATATATACTTTGTATTAAAAAGTCATTATTTCTCTAATTATAATCGATGATATATTATCTACTATACAAAATAATATCGAAATCGGCATTTCGCAATAATGTTATATACTAATATAAAGTACTATATATTTAAATTAAATATATTATAAATAAAAGATCTAGCTTTTCTCTTCATTTATATAAAGTAATTATAGATATATTAATAGGATATTCAATATAATATTTATTGCATATCTCTTATAAAATATTTCCTGAAAAAAGTGGAGTTTTTTGAAAAGTTTTTATTCTTTATTTTTTTATGTTCAAAAATCTTCTTTTTCGTAATTGAGATCCCCCCATAAGACCCTCAAATACTAAAAGGTCCAGATTATTATGAGAATTTATGGTTTAGTTTCTTTATTAATCATATTCAATATAATAAATCTATTATTAATAACATCGTTATTAATAATTCCAATATAAATACACTAAACCCCCTTTCCCAACACCAATAACAATATCTCCCCAACCCGAATAAATATCAATTCAGCAACTTCGAAAAGAAATAGAGAATAATATTCTGTTTCAAATACAATAAAGATTAACAGGTTTTTCCAAGAAAATCTTTCCTTGGTTTTTTCGTGTTTTTTTCTATATGTATATATATATATTACTATTTATTTATTTATTTATAGTGATTAACATCTAATATCTAACCTCCCAAGGGGTATTCTAGACATATTAAGGAGCAGGCCTACAGACCGCTAGCATTCCAGCTGCTCATAATAATATAATGTTAGCTAATCAAAGACTTATTGTCTCTGGTGTTTCCCCACTCAATACCACTTATAACAATCCTGCAGCTATTTTGTCTAAAGGTTTGTAGTTTTGTTTTAGAAAACCTTGTTTTATATATTATCCAAATATCAACAGATAATCGGATCGATTATTATCGATCGGGAGAACGCTTGAAGCGTTTATAGCTGATTAGTACAGGTTTTAGATTGATTGAAATAAAAAGCTTGTCCTCAGAATACTAAAGCAAATTGATATCTGTATAATTATATATAGTTTGAGTATATTCTAATATAGAATCTGGATCTGGTGAAAAGGTTAGTAAAACTATATTGTAATTACAGAATACAGTTGATATATACTATCATATCCCATTCGAATCGTAATCGGTTTAATACAAATAGCCAATTATTATACATCTGATTATTGATTGAATATCAAAAGAAATATAATAAGCTTTTCTCGATCCTACATATACAAATATTTATACTATTTTTGTAATTAAATCTAATATAATAAGCTATAAAGTTATTATATCCAATCCATATTGCTATAAATCTATATAATATTCTACAGAGAAACTTAAGGCTCCCCGGCTCCGAAGTATTATATACCAACTTCTATACATCATATATTTCAAAGATCAGATCTCTTTTCGTATTTCACTATTTACTCTCTAAATACTAATATTTAGCATATAGAATAGAATGGGAATTGCTAACAATAGAAAGGCATAATAAACCAAAATCAAGTAGTCCAGTCGTACCCTGATCAACAAGGCAATCGACTGCCTCATTGCCCTCTATCTCAATATACTTAGAGGATCACTTGATTATAATATTATAGTGTTGCATTGCTTGATAGTATTTATAATAAACCTATTAGAAGAAATCAGCAGTGTTCCCTTGCATTCCCTAGATTATTAAGATACTATCAATACATAATCATATTCAATCTTGATAAAAACATTTAATAATATTCAGGAAGCACTCCAATCCCTGCTATGCGTCAATCACCTCGATATCAAAAATGTATAACTATTTGTATATACAGTTGTAGTTACTGTCGATCTATTGCTTACCATAATAGATTGCAAAACTGTATTTTATATAATGATTGTATTTATTATATTGTTCAAATTTATCTAAGAATATAGAGTAATCTTCTTGGGGAATTAGGTTTTATTAGTTTTTAAATGTTTTCATAGTATCCTTTTTACTTATATTATTAATTAGATTAATATAGCATTCAGGGGAAAAATATAGTTATAAGAATTTGGGATGCTCGGTCGCAGGGATTGTTTATTTCATTTTCTGTAATCTAATGATAGAATCTTTCAGTATGCTTATATCTTGTCCTCTTTTCCTGATATATAGCTTTAATCGGTTTACAAATAAATATTGTATATTTACTATCTGAAGTCGAAATGCAAATCTCAACCTGGCTTGCTTTAATACAACAATTCCAGTCAGGAGACCAGCTTTTATAAGGAATGCGATCATCAGGGTTGTCTTGTAGACGGATAAAGCTCCCTGTACTGCATTATGAATTGTCTTGCTAACTAGGTCGATGTGTTTCTTGATCCCGGTGCCGACTGGAACATGGCCTGCATTTGGGAATATATATATTACTATGATAGGTGAATTAATGCCTATAAAGTTCCAAGATTTGTTTTATTTCTGTGTCCTTCTTCTTTTAGAATCGGTGACTAGAATGGAAATTCTTCTTGAACTTGATTCATACAGAATATTCTCGACCATGAAATTATCTCAATCTTTTATGGTTTGTAGTTTAACGTGTTTTATCATCGAGTGGATCATATCACCGAATGGATCACTCAATTTACATACAAAATTCGTCTGTGCGTAACCGTGCACTTTATTTATTTATCAATAGAATTTTTTAAAAATTTAATATATGAAATCTAATTAAAAGTGTACTATGAAAATCTAATTTTTTTTTGAACATTCAAAACACTATAAGAATTATTATAGAAATAGTTTTTTTGTAACGAAAATCGTGACATTTTCGAATTTTGTCGAATTTAATAAAGATGTTTATATTAAAACTAAATTTCTAAAAAGCTAAATTATTATCATTATTTTAAATCTTTCAATTTTCAGAAATAATGATTGGTTATTAAAATAAGAATATTTAAAATAGTTGATTTTGGTGTATTTTCAAATGATCCATTCGATGATATGATCCACTCGGTGATAAAACACGTTATATATTATATGTTATTTTATATGCTATATATTATTCCTAAATCTTTACTTTTTTTCTAAGTAATCACTTCTATATTAAGTTCTGGATTCTAGTCCTATTATCTTATCTCATTTATACTACAGGTATCTATTTATATTTATATATGTCTTTTTATATACGATTTAATAATTTTACTACTTGAGATATAGTTATAGTTCTAATTATCATTCTGATTATGATTAAGATCAGGATTGAGGTGACAGTTAGTATTAGGAGTAGTGATATTGATTTATTAGTAGTATTTGGAATTTATTGAGGACTTAAGATTTTGGGTTACTTGGGGTTGTTTGTATATGTGACATGTGACATGTGTACGTGTATATTTTTATAAGGAATGGAAATAAAAACTGCTAGCTACCTAGTCTGAGACTTGAATAAGGAAATAAGTTAACGAAAAAAGAAATCAGTACTTGAATAGTTTCATATCACAGGTATATGCCATTACAATCCAACCCTATCCCCCAGAATGCCAAATCCCAGAACCCAATCACCAATCCTCAGACATATTTTCCAATCTCCTTCCCCCCACCTCGTCAAAAATCTCCCTTGCGATATTCCCTCCCACCATCCTCCCCGCATTCCATGCCCCCTCTACTAAATCTCCCAATACCCTCTCTATTCCCCGCGTTGTCCAGATATGATCTCCAAGTTTCAGAGATCCTTTTTCTTTTGCATTGGAGGGAAAGGTTTTGATGAGTGGGTATGCGTGTGGAATCTCTTGCTGGTTCCAATTGTCGAGTTTTGTTGTGTTGGGGAGATGGAGGATGTTAGAGAAGAATGTGGAGGATATGGGATGGGATGAGAGGAGGCGGTGGAGATATTTTGGTGGACTTGGGGGTTGGGGAGAATGGGAATTGAAATCTGGTGATTGGGAAGAAGGGAAAATGGTGCGGAGGAGAGAAAGTTCGATAAGAGAGTTGAAAGGGGAAGTGGAGGGTTGGTGAGAATCGAGGATAGGGAGGAGTTGTGCGGGTAGAGGGGATGGGGCATTATGAAGGGTAGAAGTGAGGAGTGAGGAAGTGGTGAAGAATGTGATATATAAGGGTAGGTATTCGATATCCTGGGTATCATCGTCGAGAGGGTAGAGTGATTTACCATCCTGTGTTTCTCCTAGGAGTTCCGTGTAGTTAAATGGTGCGGCGATGATGATTTTATCAAATTCTCCAGAGACTAGAGCGTCCTCGTGGTGTTCTGCGTTTTCCCATCTTATCACCCACTTTGTACGATTCTCCATGACTTCTTCCCAGCGAGCTTGTGTGACTTTTACACCGAGGTGTAGTTTTGCTTTGTTCTCTCTCAATGATCTCTCCATTGCCATTTGAAAGAACCCGTAATTTACAGGCTTCGGAGATCTTGATTCTTCTCGCTCAAGTGCAATACTTAATGTTAGATCACTTATCTGCTCAATCGACTGTCCGGTATGACGCCGAACTTGCGGAGCTAGTATATCTCGTATATAGTCTCCTTCAACTCCATTTCTTCTCAATATTTCGGTTGCGGGGAGGCTAAAGGGGGTGTATCCAATTTTGTTGGAAATTATGTATGTCAAATCTCTGATAGAGGATACCCCTGTAGTGTTGAGTTTAGGGAGGAAAGTATGGACGGATTTCATGGTTCCCGTTGGGATTCTTGGGGCCTGCCAAACAGAATGTCCATACTTGATGAAAAGATAGATGTAATGCTTCCAAGGAGTGGTAGCATAAGGTCGGTATGTTCCGGTAACGATATTGTTTGTGTTGAAACTGCGAATGTCAGTTGTAAATTCATTATTTGAACATATTTGAACATATTTGAAATAGCAAAGCAATGCAAACTTACTATCCAACTTTTCCCATCCCAAGATTTTCGCTTTCAATAGCCATATCTTTTTCTTTCTGTACGTCTTCCAGCTCGCCAATAATACTTAATAGCTTTCCATCAAGCGTTCCGCTCGCAACATCTTCAACCTCAAGCTCCATGCCAGTTGTATCCTCAACCACCATCCTGCCGCCTACTCTTGTCTTTTCATCAAAAACAATAATCTCCACTTGCACATCAACATTTGGGTCTTTCAAATCCTGACTAAATCGTGAAATCCCATCTCTCACACCTTGAACCACACCAATCCCCGCGGGTCCAGCACCAATAATTCCAACCTTAAGATTCACGACTTTCGCTGCTGATTTCCCATTCCGAATGATAGATAAAGGCAATATTACTGAACCGAGAATCATAAATGCAGTCAGGAACGCCCCGATGACAGTGAGCAATTTTTTGTATAATTTCCTGCTCTTCCTGTTATCCACATCTCCCGATTCTGAAAGATAGTCCTCAGTCACTATTGGAAGAAGAGGTGATGATTCCGAGTATGAGTATTTCGGAGGACTTTCAGGCGAATATGGTGGTGGTGGGCCAGCCTTATGCATCTTGATTGACATATTTGCTTGATATCAACACATTCGCTAATTATTGAAAGAATTACGTCGAGATTGCAATGTCGAGGTTTTAATCCATCATATAGAGCTGAAAATCACAGCCTGAATCTTGATACATGAAGTGAGGTGATGGTCATCAAATTCATTGCGCCTCCGTGTGACGGTCGCAATGCGGCCGCCTGCATAGAACAGGGTATAAATATCTAATAGGATTGGACGCCGCCACGGGTTGCTATCTTGATAGGCTTTTTGTGATGCAGTTATTGTCGCATGTAAGGCATACTTACAGGGTGATTATCATTTGAATGGTCGTTCATTAATCGGATATTTTTCAGGCGGCAAACGAGCTCAAAAATCATCGATGTTGTGAATAGGGATCGTGATCAACTCAACATCCTCCGAAATCAACGTGAAAATGTGCGTCCCATTCCAAAACTCTCTAATAACTCCATCCCCAGTATACCTCCTTACTCCCTAAATTCCATCGATTCCACAGCCCAGTCTACTTTCCAATCTTCATCAATCCCCCTCGTTCGGCCAAAAAATGCTGAATCCCACCACCATGATGAGAAAGATATAAAACGCGCCCACCAACGAGATTACAAATATCGACATCCAGGTAGCTGCTCTAAACCTCGATGCATCGTCCGATCTAACAACTGGAGTTTGATAAGGACGAGGTTCAGTCGGTAGATGGAGATGTAGAAGAGGTGTTCTTTCTGTATACGAGGGCGGACGGGATGTATATGGTGGAGGAGGATCGTTCATTTTGATATTGATCTGGTATATCTCTCTCGATTTGAGCTTGAAGCGTAGAATGAAGGAGTGGGAAATAGTTCAATAGATATAATAACAATAAGGCCTGTAAGATTTTCTCATGATGGTTAACAGCATGACATTCGTATTCGCTTGTGCGATGTGATTGGCTCTCTGTTTGGAGATCTGACAGTCGTGTTCCTAAACTATGGATGTTAGTAGGGTAGGGGTGGCTGATGAAAATGCGGGGTAGAACATAGCCAAATCAGATGGCATTTGAGTAGCGAATGAGATTCAATTTTGGAAAGACGAGGATAAAACATGGTTCATGATTGTCATCGAGCGAAGATCTATTGTATTGCTCGCCAATACTAAACTTTCACTCTTCTCCCCATTAAAGGAGGGATCTTGCTTCGCTTAACCTCCTTATTCTTGACGCTGAAATTTAAATTGACATTCCACCGAATCATTTCTTAACACTTCTTTTCTTACAATTATCACTCCGCTAAATTCCTGGAACTAATCCTTCAACCCAGCTAGTCCCTTTCCACCATTGATGGGCAGAATAGAGATCCAACTAGTCTGCAACGCCTTCTTCTCCGCAATCTCCTTGCTATACCCCTCCATTTCCTCAACATCCCAATTGACTCCCACCATCCCCCCTCTTAAATAGTCTGCTCTCTCTTGAGCAAGATACAATGCTAACATACCGGTCAAATCAGCATGATCGATTGCATATGGTTTGAATTGTTCCGACACCATGTCAGTCAGTACAATTCCTGGCATCGTGGTGAAAACACGGAGCGAAGGATATTCGAGGTGAAGATGTTCGGATAAACGTTGTTCGGCAAGTTTAGAGATACTGTATGCGGATCCACGAGCTCCTGTGAGAGCAGCGATTCCGGAGGACACGTTAATAATCGTGCCAGTCGGCGACTTAGGGGAAGGTTGGGATCGGATGAAGTGGTGGGTCATATGATAAAGACCTTTAAGATTAATTTCCTAGTTTTCGTCAAATATTAGTTTCGTTTTTCCCAACTATCTCATATCAATTCGTTGAGATGGACATTGACATTGATGTGAAAAACTCACCAATACCTTCCACCAAGCACTTGGTTCCGCCTCTCCAATCATACCTCTTGACATATATCCAGCGTTATTCAATAGAACATCAGCATGTCTACCAAATTCCTTCTGTACTGTCTCATAAAGATTCTTAACATCTTCTTCATTCGCAATATCGACTTTCACACTAAGAAACTTGGTTTCTGGACTAATTGGCTGAAGTTTCTCGATAAGAGAGTCTATAGGCGGAACTCGACGAGCTGCGAGTACAATACCGGATGCATGAGCTTCGGCCCAAACTTTTGCCGCTGCCTAATTTGAGATAATGTTAGAATGGAGAATCTAGATTGTAAGATAAATGGTATGGGACACTACTTACAGCTCCAATACCAGCACTAGCTCCCGTGATAATAATAATTTTACCAGATTGGTTGTTCGCTGGATTTTTAGAATCGATAGCCCAATAAGGATCACGATGAATAGACTTAGTGATAGCGAAAGGCGTAGTATACGCATCAGGATCTATTGTTCCACTCATTTTCGATTTTGGTATGTGTTTGGACAAAGGAAGATAAGCAAGTAGATCAAGTGTCTGAATTCCGTGCAAGAGCCGGAGTTTTGTTGTGCAATTGATGTGGTGTGCTGGAATATGAATTCTCCAGAAGAGGGGAAGTTTTGTTCTTTGTAACGGAGCTGAGTTAAATGCAATTGGGTTTGAATATGAAAGTAGATATCAAAAGAAATGGAAACGAAGGAATCTGTCAAGTATTATATAGACTCGCACCCATAGATCCAAGAATCTACATTATTAATCCAACCTCTGAATCTACACCAATTACCAACTCAGCAATATCAGCAATCAATCCATCTTTCATGCATGTAATTAAGCAACTGCCGAATTCTTATAAATCAACATAACGACGTCGGGCCTGATTCTCATATCCTCGGCTGCCACTGATCACTGATCAATCAACATTCAGTACCACAATCTAAACTGGAGAATAATCAGATCAAAGAGGATGGAAATCCACACTTGAGAGTTCATGAAACGTGTCGAAAATGTATATTGATCCACTACACTCGATTCACAGCGTCTATCCAAAACCTTAAATTTCAATGCTTCCGCAGAAACACCCGTCGGGATAAAGTCATGTGACCGGGCTTGCGCTAACACCTCGGCAGTGCAATACATTGGCTTCGTAGTCTTATTGGCTTCTAGACCCGCAAGTAATGTTATAGTGTGAATCATGGAAATATATTGACTTCATCATCTCGATTTTCAAGGTTTTGATAATGAAAGGTAGCCCACATCAAGGGTGGTCAGAAAATAGGGTAGTTGACTTATGAGGTGATATTGATATTCAGCATTGGCAATCACGCTTTGAAATCAAACCTCTTCTGATTTGCTATACCAATGACTGTAATAGGTTTAGTCTAACTAGCACCGCGTAACAAAGGGGAATTGACCTGGATTTCAGCGTAACACTATTTGTAATCGTTTACTCCGAATTTGGTGAACCTTGTCTCGAGCGAATTGATCAGATTGCAATCTATGGGAAGGAGGGTATGAAGGTAAAAGGTTCTCTCGAACTCATCAAATATAGCATATGTGATATCGGTTATCTACGATATATGCGCATTATCATAACTCCATGAGGCCCAGCCCAGCCCAACCCAGAACCATTGAACGCTGGATACTTTTTGTGCAACCACATATAATCTAATCATCCTCCTCAACATTCTCCTCAATTACATCATGCTCTCCATCATCCTCAAAACTACCAGCTGGCACTTGGTACAATCTCAAGATTGGCTTGTTAGGATCTTTGACAAGTACGTACTTGCCCTCTTCACGCTTCAAGCACATATCAACAATGGTACGGACAATACCCCATCCATTGGATAGGGACAAGTTCATTTGCGAAGCAAAATCACGTGGCTTCCAGCCAATAACGCCGAGAACTACATGACGATCGTTGAGTTTTGGGTTGGCACGGGAAACGAATCTATCAAAGGTTAGTGTGAAATAGTGACCACAGGCGTAATAAATACATACCCGAGTTTCATGACATCAGCCTTAGCGATGATACTTTGAACTGTCCATCTTGCAAGCTTGCAACTGTTGTTCTTCATTTCAGTTGCAACAACAGCACCACGTTGACTGACCAACTTCGTCCTCCAGTCCAATGCACCTCCACTTCCTTGTGCCTTGGAATCGAATTCGTTGAGAGCCTTGACAGTCAAGAATTGATCTTCTCCACTGATGGCGTTCTTTGAAACAGCATCGAGCTCGGTTCTTACAACCAAGTGAACTGGATCTTCGTCGTTCAAAGAAAGATCAAATTTACGGTATTTGTATGCCTTACTGGCAGGTGGGTCGGTTTCTTCGGCGGAGTTATAGAATGGGTTCTCGTTCTCCATTTCTACCTTCTGGCTGTCGCTCTCCTTCATGACTTGATTTGCGAAGTTGTGGTTGATGTATGTAGCTTCCTCAGCCAAAGCACTTGGCTGGTTAATAGCGTCCTTGCTACCTTCTGAAGCATCCATTGGAGCGTCAGCAGCATTCTCATTAACGGTAACCATATCGAGTGTAGCATTGTCTCTCTTGTCGAGGAACACTTTGTTGCCTTGTCGAACGATAACGATGTCCCAAGGATAAACTGAACGAGGGGAGCACATAAGCATGGAAAGAATGCTGTCTGTTGCGAAAATTGTGGCCTCATCCTTCTCGGCGAGTTCTTGAATGACGGGATCTGAAGATGTGGTAACGTTGTATGAAGCGCGGTCGACCACGTTAAGCTTTCTCTCGGCAGCCTTGACAGGTTGCTTGTCGAATGATCGATCGTAGTAGTAAAGGAAACCATAACTGTCAATATCTTCTCCATCATCGGTATCAAGATTGAGCTTGGCCAGACGGTTGAAATCAATCTCCTCCAACATTTTCCAGTCAGGCTTAATGTTAACAGAGGCATCACGGTTTCTTTGTGGCTTGTCGTAATCTTTCCAGCCAAACTTTCTTCCACCTCGAGCACCACCTCTTCCACCGCGGGTATCATAACTGTTGTAGCCTTGTTGCCCGCCTCGTCCTCCAACTCTCTGGAATTGACCTCTACCACCACGGGTATCACCTCTTCCGCCACGTTGTCCACGTCCTCGAGCGAGTCCTCCACGTCCAAAGCGGGTCTTGGTAGAATCGCGAGTGTTGCTGACAACGGAGAAGGTAGATTCGTCCTCGGCGAGTTGAACTGCGAATAATGAGGAGGTTCCAGCGCCGTAAACTTGTTGATCTGATGCACAAAAATATATTAGCACAAAGAAATCATATCAAACCTAACTTTCTCCAGTGCACGTAAAAGAAATCGCAAATAAATAGCAAATGAATCTCGAGGTAAAAATCGCACCTCTGTAGTTTCGGTTATACTGCTGTCTTCCACCTCTGCCATCTCTTCCATCTTTTCCTTCGGCGGTCCAATCTGCCATGCGACCTAATTTATCGCCTTTAGAGTATGGGGCGTAAGGAACGCCATTTAATGTGGTTTCTGATGTGGTCGATGGTCCCCATGAGTCCTCTGATGGGAGCGCAGAGATGATATCTGAGAGTGAAATAGGTGCCATGATTGCGGCGGAAGATTGACGTTGAGATATGCGGGAAGGGAGGAAACGTTCAAACCTCCAACAATGAATTCGTTGAATATTTCGATTTGTGGAGGAAAATCTTAGCGGGGCAAAAGTTCGCGATAGCAAATGGTGCCTTGAATTTAAGTCCAAAATCTGTGTTTACCTTACACGTGACGGCCTGGTGAAAAAAGACTCTCGTTTGATCTGGTCGGAGCCCCTTTCTTACTTGGAACTCTTCAATACTTCTATCAAACTCGATATGATATGATATAAAATTTCAATCACAATGTTGACTGTTTACATGTTCTTCAATCTCTGAAATCAAAATCCAAATCAGAAAATCATGCACAGGGAAGACATTCTGAATTTTTCATCTAATAACTTTCATACCTTTGAATTTCGGATACTGTAATGTGCATCAGGTACATGTTCATAGAATTCAATCAAGTTGAATGATTATTCTTCATCTACTGTTCACTTGCAAACCACATCAAGGTAATGAAAGGTGTCATGGGTCAAATGCTCCCATGCGTTTCAATCAGCCTATCCATTTTCTCATGGCTAATATCTAGCTATTGAGAAGGTCTCATCGTGGCTTCTGAAACCTCAAGACCCACGACCTTAAGACTTCCTGGCCCTTGAAACTTTTGCTGATCTTCCACCAATATTTTCCCGGAAACCGGATCCAACATCACCTTCTCAAAAGCCTTAAATGCTTCCTCATCTTCAAAAATCATCTCACTGTATACATCGTAATCGATATCCTGATGGTTCGTGCCATAATACACACTGGCTGGATAGTTCGAGTTTGATGTGTCGGAGGATGAAGCATCGCATGCAGTGCGGATAACGTAGTTACGGGTGTGGCTTTTGGGGAAGTAGGAGCCTTGTAGGGAGACGAGCAGAGGTAGATGAATAGTTTCGTAGTAGGTTTTGAATTCGGCAGGGGTAAGGCCTGGTTTGCGGGTTTGGAAGGCACTCAGTATTAAGGGAGGCATACTGGAGATCAGTTAGTAAATTTGTTTGATTGGTCTCGCTTCAATGTCTTGGAGACTCAGAGTTACATGGCAATTACCTTGTGATATATGGGATTCAAGGTACTTGTGATTTATCAGCCCAAGAGCAGAAGTTGTATGTTTGTAAAGTCTAGAAGTCGTAGAAATCAATCCTAAGTTTCAGTGTTCATTGAAATTGAAGGGTACTTTCATGAAGACATATTAATGGTCTTTGTCTAGAGGCACCAGCGGGCAATTAGCCAACAGTTTGATCTCACTGCATATATTCAATATCTGACTAGGATTAATTAGTGGAGAATGATAAGTACTAGTACTTTTTCTGCTGTAGCCACTTGGTATCATTTAGTCCTTTGGCCTGATCAGAAAGCTATTCATGTTGTGATGGACCAAATGATGAAGGAAAGCTACCAACTAGATGATTAGGGAGGTAGCTTTCACTACAGATTATCCCTAGCAAATGTGGGTTCTTTAGACTTGGGACTTTGGTTGCAAATAACTAGGTATATAAGCAGGTACGATTTGATAAATCAAATCCATAACAAACTCCAAGATCAAGGACTGAATAAAAAGCAACAATTCATTTCAGATGACAGGACTACTATCATCAATAAGAAAGGCCTTGTGTGAACACTGCCAAAACCTGGTGAAGCTTCAACATACTTTGCTGAGTAACTTGTGTACCAAGAGAGTGCAAATACTAACAGGAACTCAATCGTTTCATCTAGGGGTGTAAGAATAATAATATTCTTTGATGTTTGTGTTGTTTTGTTCGAAATGGTCTTCCATTAAGTTCAGAGTTCCTAATAGTTCCAGCCTCAGGCTACATCCTAGGCTGGGTGGTCGGAGCGTCTGTCTGCCATACCATCAATGATTCTAGGAAAGGCTGAATCCAAAATCCTATTTCAGTCTCTCACATCACTTCTTAAGACCTACAGATTTACGATCAAAGAAAATGCACAAGATACATACTTACGATTACAATGGCTCACACATCAAGAGAAAACGTAGAGATCTTGGTTCACACATCGGCACCAAGTCGAGGCCAAGATGATACTAGATACCGGGCATTTGCAAGAGCCTATTTAAATTTCGAATCAGCAAAAAGCCTACAATTACAGGACGATCCTCAAGACGATACTGGAAATGCGGAAGAACGAGAGAGTCTGATTGAAGGGACGCAATATTTGACGCAGGAATACGATGAAAATGCATCTTATTGTCCACCAACCCAAGAACCAGAGACGAATCCGGGGGCATACCGTGAAATCCCTGAGGAGGAATTATCTGACCTGATGTATTCGCCGCAACTGTCTTTTCGAAGTGTTTTGGATAATCGAAATTCTCCAATGTTTCGCACTCGAAGCAGGACTTTGATGAGTTTGCAAGTACAGTCTGGAAGCGAAACACTGGAGCAAAGTCGTCTTGAATTTGGAACAAGTTCTGGAGACAAAACGCCATGGCGGGATCAATTCATGGATTCATTGCCAGCTCCAAAAAGAGAATCTAGTGTAATCGAGGATTCCATGCTCGAGAATGATAGAATACTTGCTCAATTTTCATCCCGAGGAGGATTCGGAGCTACATCAACAACAAGAGGAGAGCACACAAGACAGTGCTGACGCGAATGAGATATCACAGTTTACGGATGAGAGTAGCTTGAATCTTGAGGTGCCACTAGCAATACCATTCACTAGCTCTCAGAATAGTGACGCTCATCCCAATTCTGACACTGCCATTTCGCTACCATCCCGTCGTTTGCAAACGATTTCTCCTCCATGTCGACAGCATAAGGTTGGTTATCAGCATGTGAACGCACTTCCAATTGCGACTTCTGGTGCAGATGATCTCGATATGATAGATTTTGACAGCTTCAATAATGCGCAGGCTTCAGGGCAGGCTGCGAATACTTCAAGTCGACGTGCAAGTCAAGCTACAGAAATGGAAGAGGTAGCAGAGTTCACGCATGAAGAAATGAATCCGGCTGAAGTTTCAAAGAAAGGATCAACATCTAATACACCTGAGATTCCAGAATCATCTAGCTCGCTGCCCAAACATGTGCACGGCAAGCGTCAGCGACTCGATTTTCCATCGTCATTGGACAAGAGTCCCAAGAGGTTGAAATTGGTGATATCAGATACCACGGCTGAAACGTCGTCAGCGTCTCTTCCCGCACCTCAAAGACCTCCCACATCTACAGCTCCCGAGGCACCAAAAGCTTCTGGTATTCCGAGCTCCGTTCTTTCAAGCTCCGTTCCTCCGATGTCGAGCTTGCCATCTGCAGCATCCCTAGCAACATGCAAAATTCCATCTTTTACGCCCCCCACTTCTGTTGGTGAGTTTAAGGAGACAGATATTCTCACGCCTTCATTGAAAAAGATCAAAGCAAACCGCGGTAATTTTAATGGATTGCAAAAGAAACATTTTAATCCTACTTTCCAGACTCGGCCCTGTCGCCCTTTGGAGCGCGGATATTGGCTTATTCACGCAGAAGATCTCGGGGATCTTCTCAAGAAAAGGCTTTGGTCCTACCTTCTTCGGGTCATTCCGAAAGGTGATTTAGGATGGGGCATATCAGCTGAACGTACTAATGATTGGAATACTGTAAGGGTTTATTGTTGGGGTGGGGTTGTCAAAGAAATTTACCTCATGCTTTTTTGTGCTAGTGAAAATAAGCTGAAATACGGGGATGCGTGCTGGAAAGACGCTGACGGAGAAATCGTGATCTTGATGCCCAAAGAGATCAAGATCTCAAGTTTCAGTTCAGAGAACTAAGTATAGGATCTCCTATAAGTTTGATGACCTTGTCGTTACTTCTACCCCTCGCCTTTGGATATGCCCAGGGACTCGAGATGGCAATACTATTCAGAGTAAAATATACCGATATGGCCGATCATCAGTTGAATTCCTCATGAGACTTGCCCACGTGAACGTATTGATCTCCATGAATTCACGAACTGAATTTTGGCATGTTTGATGGATCTTCCTTGCTTATGACTTTGAGGTCCATCGGAAGACATCCGGTGTATAATCTAACCCAAAAGAGATAGGCGAGAAACCACTACTAGACGACTGATATCTTATCGCTGTGCATACTAACTATTATTATGTTGCAGGTGATGTTTTTCTGGGGATTTAGAGCAATTTTAACCTCTGAAGGACGGAAAATTACCCCAGAAATTTCACTAATTCACGTCATCGTTCAACTTAGTTCTTCTAGTCTCAACTCAAAGTCACAACAGCACACTGGAATTCTGTGGCCCCCCATTAGCTCTACTGCCACTGGTATTTCATTATTCGGCCTATTCTTACATCACTGAAAGCTATGAAGTGCGTCCAATATGTATTTTACACACTTTTGGTGAAGCCTCTCACAATGAAATATATGTTTTGTCGTGGGAGGCTGAGCAGCCTTAGAGTAGGCAAACACATTATTTCGCAGCGAATCGCACATACACATGTTCTTGCGCCTTGCCATGAAGTGAAGAAAGCCTAGCCGCAAATACAAGGGCGCCGTACATCAAAACTTAACATTCGAAGGCATTGCTACGGAGCACTTTGATTGGCCTTACACATCTTTCCATGGCATGGTTCATGGCTCACATTGGCTCTTGGCATTTAGTGGATCAATGAGCTACAGTAACTAACTATTCTAATTCTTCTATGGATGGATAGCTTCTAAACTCACTCCAGAAGCCTCCTGGTGCATTCAATGAGTGTGGGGAAAGGAAACGAAACAAATCGTTGACGTATGACCTCTGAACTTACATATATATAGAGCGCTCCTTCAATCATTCTAGTAAGCATCAACCTTCTATTAATCTCTTGTCATAAGTAACATTCGCCAAGGGATATATGATCGATTTCATTCACTACAATCAGCTTCTGTCACCAAGCTATTAAGACAAATACAGGGCACCTAAATATTTTGTTCAAAATCCTCAAGCAAATATAGAAACGTACCAATGCCAAAACCTGCAAATAGTTATCAACAAAATGCAGGTTAATATACGAGAACTGTCTGCCTCGAATGAAATCCTGACGGCATTTTATATCGAGCGGAGCCACGCGACTTCTACGATGTCTTAAATTATAAGTTTAATGAACCACTAACTTTTACATCCAACATTTTAATGAACGATATCAATTGGCAGAATACAACCCGCCAGCAGAAATCTTATCTGGGATTGAAGGTTTCAATGGCTCCAGATGGGGTATTCCACAACTCTCTACACTAATTATAAGTAGTCTGCGTAGAAAACCCAGTAGGTGGGACCCCATTCACTGGTAATGATTCCAATGAGTGGGTAATATATCTCATTGGGTACTCAATGGGTGGGTAGGATTTCTAAAAACCCATCCTATTATCTATGGGTAATCCAAAATATTATGGGTAACCCAAAATACCATGGGTAATTCAAAATACTATGGATAACCCAAATACTATGGGTAACCTAATGGGTAATAGGTAATTTAATGGGTAATAAGTAATTTAATGGGTAATAGATAGTAATTAGGATTATAAAGTGTATTATTCAAGATTAATAGAAAGATTAATAGAATATTCTTCAATTCTCAATTCGGATAATTATTTATATCTATTAAGTATATTATAAAACCTTCTTTGACTCCTTTTTTTATTGAATCTATTAATTATAATCTTATTATCTTTAATTCGTTACCTTTTCGAATTATAGCTTGATAAATCAGATTATATAGCTTAATCTTTTATAGTAATCTGTAAATCATTATAATTATTAAATCTTCGTTTTCTAATCTTTTATTTATTTGATTTGATATATCTTGCTTGATTTTATAATCATTTTGAAAAAGATATTATGATATCCTGATTAATAGTATATTTCTTTGTAGTTAACGATATTTTCGAAACTTTTTTTGTATTATATGTATAACATTCATATCCGATTCTTTGTTGTTAATATAATTCTTTTGGTTCTAATTATCAAATTGTTTAATCTTAAAATTAATTTTATCTTGTAAATTCACAATTTCGATTTCGATTTCCTTTTTAGTTAAAGTTATAGATTCTTTAGCAATTTGTATAATATTCTGGGATATATAATAGTCTCTATCTTTATTTGAAATCTCCTTTTGTAATTTCTATTAATAATAAAAAAGGAAAATATTATTACAAATAGTTTCTGAAATAAATTGTTTATATCGATATAAATATAAATCCCTAGTATAACTAAATATTCGTTTTATACCAATTTCTACTATTAGAATATAAAGGAAATCCTTAGCTATTCTAGCTAAACCTGGATAATTATATTCTTTTACTTTTTAATAAGAAAGAATAGTTATATCAGAAGAGATTAATAAAATATTAGAGATATAATTAATAGAAAGATTAATAGAAAGACTTACGAAAGTATAATCAAAAATCTATTTCATCTATAACAATTTCTTGAGATTTATATTATTTAGAAATATTTTAATAAAATTATTCCAAAATAATTACTAGATTATTCTTATTTGAATTTTGCAAAGCTTGAAGTTAATAATTCTAGATAGTATATATTATTGATATTCGGTTTCCCAAAATCAACGAAATTATACTTCGAATTTAGCTTACCAATCCTGATTTTGATAATTCAATCAATAAGAATTTGAATTGAAAGTAGTTGCCTTCGAAGCTGAATATAATAAAGCTTCTATTATATAAATACTATTAAGATTATTATATATATTATTATAATATTTATTCAATTTTCTTTTTACTTTATTAATAGCTTTTATTAGTTTTTCAATCTATAAATATTTCATCTTTTTTTTAATTAAACAATAACGATTTCAATTAAATGCTTATATAAATTATCATAAATATCTAATGTATATAGCAAAATAGTTTCTTTTATTCTATCTATATGTATAGTATAGAAATTGAATGGACAAATAAAATCAATAAAATATCCAATTTGTTTTTATTCTATTTCTAATAAAGAAAATATTCTTGTATCAAAATAATCCTGGCAGTATTTATCAATTGCATTTCAAAGACATACTGCATGTATTAATATATAACAAGTCGAATCCTATCAAATTGAAACATTTATCAAAAAATTAATTGGCCTTCTTAACTCCATCTGATTATTTCTGATAAGTTTTTATTGAATATTCAGAAATCTTAATCGTTGTTATGTATTAGAATTCAAGAGTATAGCTAGTTTTCGAATTTAGATAAGGATTAATAAAAAGATTAATAAAGAAATCAAATTATTTATCTTAGCGAGAATAAAAGGAATAGTATTATTTTCCAATAAACGAATTCTTTCTAAATTGCTTGTTTCTGTATTATTATTCCAATCTCAAATAAATGTTTTATTAGTTGGAGTCAAATAAATTGATCCAAAAAGTGCTTTTAAAGTAAGTTGAATAATATATGCTAAATAAAGTATATGCTGAATGTGTTTATCCAGAAATCGATTTCTATTAAATGCTTTCTTAAAGTGTTGATTGATTTTTTCTATTATTTTAGAATTATTAGATGTATTATCAATAATAATTGAAATAATCTGATTAATAATATCGAATTTATCAATAACATTTTTTACAATTTTAGCTAAAGCTTATCCTGAATAAATATTTATTAAGCTTTTGAATCCAATAAGTTTTTTAATTAATTTTTAATCTTTGGAGATATAATAAATCAAAATTTCAAGAAAAAATAATCTATTTGTATTAAACCAAATATCTAAAGATAGAATAACCTTATTTCCTTTTATCATTCTCGAAAGCAATATATTCTTTTCAAGATTTTCGATTTGGATTATTAATTGTTTTCGAAGTATATATATAAAGAGAAAAGAGAATCCAGGATTTTGTATTTAAATAAGTTATTACTATTTTTTATTTTCAATAGCTCGAAAAAATACTCGTAAAAAAATAATTATTCATAGAAGTTGATTATAAAATGCTTCTTCTATAAATTGGTTTTGATAAATCTATTGGAAAAAGAATTAGCTTTCTATTAATATTTTATTAATTGTTTACTATCTACTCTTACAATAGGATATTTATTTAATCCTTTTTGATATCTATTTTGAAAAGCTGCTTTTCGATATATATTACTTTGAAAATATTTAGATAATATATTAATACCAATATTTTTAATTCTAGGATAATTCAGTTCTCTATTATATTAACAATATATTAAAATTAGCTTTCTGATTCTCTTATTCATAGTCTGATTATATTTAATCCAATATATTGATTTATGAGTAATTGAATTCTAATAAATCTTTTTTATTAAATTAGTTGAGTTATTAATCTGATTATTAAATTATTAAGTAATTTTCTATTATTCAATAAAATCCTGATAAACTTCTTATATCTATTTAAAAAACCTTTTATTTTTTCTATATAATTCAAAAAACAATTCATAAGGAGACGAAAAACGAAAAAAATCGAATAGCTTAGAATTAAAAGCATTTGAAAGATAACTGGAAGATATAATGAAATTATCCAAATAGATTTCAATATCTAATAGATTTTGAAAGATAAAATCTATTTTTACAAGAATAAGAGTATTAAGTAGAAAATTAATAGAAAACTTAGTAGAAAAGTATATAATAGAACTTCAATTTGATTATTCTATACTAAAATACTAGTTTTAATTATAGAAACTCTCAATAAGCTTTTGATTGGCTTGAATATCAAATAACATTTGCAAATTTGTATTTGCAAGTAAAACCAATTATTAAAGATCCCACAATTTCTAATCGATCTTCTTATTATAAATCAATTCTCCTTATATTAATATATTGCTTCGATTATTCTCTAAAATGAAAAATCCTATATTATTGATCTCTTTAATAGATTCTCTGGTTACTAAATACAGAATTAAAAAAATTAATCTAATTATTCATTTCAGAATCATTTATGAGATAAGTTATATATGTCTTTAGAATACTTTCTTAGAACTATAAAGAAAGTTATAGGTAATTTCTATATTAAGTTTTTCTAATAAGGGATTAATGAATTAATTAAAAGATTAATAGAAAGATTAATGGAAATAGTAATATTATACTCTATAGCTTTCTTATATTCCTTTCTCAAATCACAAAGTTTATTAAATAAGCTAACTAATTAGATTTTGAAATAAGGTTCAAGAATAGGAATATAAATTTACAACTAAAATTTGTATGTATTCTTTATCAACTTGTTTTGTTTCTTTTGTAATTGATAATAAAGAAAAAAGTGGTTAACAAATTAATCAATTTATTATAAGATCAATACAAAGAAAAATTCTTATCTTAATCCTTTTTAGATTTCTTATTAGTTAAAGATAGAAAAGGTCTTTACAATATCCTCCGATTTTCTGGGATTTTTTGACAATATCTTTTCAGCACTTCTCTAAGTTTTTTATTAATATTGAAGTAGCAAATACTTATATTTCTAATAAGATCAGTTTCTATTAATCTTTCTATTAATCATATAATATTATTTATCTCTAAAGGATTATAGATATTATAAATCAAAAATGCTTTTCTTTTTCAAACTCCTTATCATCCTTTCCTTTTCGATTATATTCTTAATTAAAAGCTTTATTATTTTTTTATAAATTCTTATATACTCTATTATACTCTTTTTATATTCAATATCCTCCTATACACTATTATTATCATCTACAATAGCAAATTACCCACCATAATCTCCCCAGTCTAAAAATATAACAATATTTTTCTAATCATTACCTTTCATTACTCTATTAATCAAATTAATAGAAAAATTAATTGAATAAAGATTAATATACATATTGTTTGTATTGAGTTTTTGTATCACAATCAATCAACATCTAGCGCTGAGTATTATCGGAAGCGTTAATATATTTTTGTATTATCTTCAATTTCTTTTTTATATAGATAATAGCATTCTAATCTCTTGCTTTGGCCTTTTCAATTTTTTTTACGAATAGGGTCATTTTCTAAAGTTTTATTCCTCTTATGCACTTTGATTGTATTAGGATTTTACGATAAGTCCTTTGATGCTTTTCGCTTTCTAAATATTATAAAGATTTCGGATTAATAGAAAGATTAGAAGAATGAAAGGTATTTGATTGCAAAAAAGGATTCTGTAATAAGAAATCGAAGAATGTTGTTTATAGAATAATAGAAAAATTAAAGAAAGATGAGAATTGGAAAATAGTAGTATAATAGTGGAATTTCGAAGTTTTTGTTTTTTTTGTTTTCAAAGCAACAATCTAAGTTTTAAGGTATTTACACGAAATATTATATAATACAAACGACCTCTTTTTCAATTTCATTTCTTTATTATTATAATAATAATATACTATTTAGAAGATGTTATCAAGTATATTAAGTGATTTCATTCTATTAATTTATCTACTAATTCAATAGAATGCCAAGCACTCAGAGTCGTCGATCACTTCCAAATAAAACAACAAAAAATATTACACAAAGAAAACCTGTTTTAAGAAAGTTTCTAAAAAAGTATATCGCTTTAAGCCAGATAGTAAGTTGATTAATAGAAATATTAATAGAATAATATACTAAGCCTAATTTCAGTAATTATATTATATAAAATTAGAAGATATCAAAAGACACCGAGTTATTGATCTGAAAGCTTTTCTTTTAAATATTTTGGTTCAAGAAATCATTTAGGGAATTTAACTCTAAGAGTTTTGTTAATAATCAACTACATTATAACTCCTACAAAAACTACTAAAATATATTAGTTAGAAAGTTTGAATATAGTTTAATCTAATTTCTTAATATCTTATTAAGTTTTATAATAATCATTTAATTTCTATAAAACAAATTTTATAGTAATTTATCTAAAAACAAATTACAATTCAATAAAAGGATATGCTTCTGATTCGGGTTATGTATAAATATTTTAGAATATTATCTCTGATAATTATTATATAATACAGATTAACTTGATTATTTCGAGTACTTTTACAAATTCATAAATATATTTTCTTTTAAAAGAATTACTGAATACTATAAATACAATAAAACACTTTTCCAACTCTATAATAGAAATATAATCAAAATATAATATGAAAAAGGTAATTAATAGAAATATTAATAGAATTCTTTATATATATCATATTGATACTTAATAGATCCTGGCTTTGGATTACCCATAATATTTTGAATTACCCATTGGGTTTTGGGTTACCCATAATATTTTGAATTACCCATTAAGTTCTTGGCAATCTATTGAAGTCTTAGTAACCCATTGGATAATCTATGGGTGGGATATCTATTTATACTATTATCTACCCAATTCATAGGTCCTGATGGGTGGGACGTGAGATCGAAAACCCGACCCATGGGGCCCCATTTTACAGCCTAATTACAGATCTTTAGATGAAGCTGTGTCGCGCAAAAAGCTGGGACTTCTCGAAGCTGCATCTCAATCAAAAAAGAAGACCAGTATATCAACCCCCAGCAAGAATTCTCAAGCATCCAGTTCATCCAATGTCACTGTAGCAGGTCCATCAAGACCAAAACTTCAAGTGAGTAACTTACTTTATTATATTGAGCATGTTATTGATTGGAATATGTAGATAATTGCAAGAGACAAAGACACCTCAAGTATTGAGGAAAAGCAACCGTCTCGAGTAAACAGTCAATTATCAAAAGAGACTAGCACTACGTCTGATTCTGGGTATATTTCTGGTGCTGAGAGATATCATTCAGAGTCGATTTCAAGCCTTCCTCGTCAGGGATATAGCAAATTGCCCCTCCTTTCTAGGTTTATTAAGATGCTTAAGAAGAGACAACATAAGGGCAAATCTGTAGTTGCGGAGCCTGTCAGGTATGAACCTCGGAAACAGAAAGAAATCTTGCTGACCGATCAAATAGAGAATGTGTCTCATGTTTGGATGATTTTCCAGTGAACGACATGGTTCATGTGCAGTGTCACGACTATTGCAAAGATTGTTTCGAAAGACTAGTCATGTAAGTTGTTTCTAAGACACGCATCAGGGATTATCTAACACACAATACAGTACTGCCATGGAAACAGAGCCGATGTGGCCGGTTAAGTGCTGTCTCAACGATATACTACATAAGACCATTGTAAAAAATATCAAACCAAACCTGGCAAAAGAATTTCAACTGAAGGTTTACGAGCGGGAGATCGCTGCAGGAGACCGGATCTATTGTATTAAGCCAAGATGTGAAAGGTGGATTCACAACAATTGGATCGACAAAGGTCGCAAATGCGCATCTTGTCCTGCTTGCGAAACAAAGGTGTGTATCACTTGCAGAGGTTCATGGCATGCAAATATGGAGTGTCCTCAGGACAAAGATCTTCAAGCTACAGTCAATTTAGCAGATGATAGAGGGTGGAAGCAATGTTATAATTGCAAGGTTTTCATCGAACTTAACAAAGGCTGTAGGCATATAAAATGCCATTGTAAAGCCGAATGGTGTTACGTGTGTTCTGCCCAATGGAAGACCTGTGGATGTACAGAACTCGAACTTACCAAGTTAATGCAAAACTTGCAACTAAGACAAGAAGCTGCTGCTCTAGAAACGCAGTTGCAGGAAAGAAGAACCAGGCAAGAAGAAAAACGAATTAGGAAAGCGGCAGAAGAAGAACGGATTGCTATTCAAATGGTCGAGGATTTCGAACGACGAGAGGCCGAAGAATTAGGAAGAGAAGCCGAACGTGATTTTCAACTAGAAGAAGCCATTCGGCGTCGCCGAGAGGATAAAAGAGTTGCAAAAATAGCTTCCAACTTCATCAAAATAAGAGAGCATCTAAATGTGTTACATCGTTCACAAAAATCACGTCTTACAACTCGCTCGCAGGAGGAATTTCAAATGTTACAAGAACGAGAAAATGGGTTCTACAAGCTACAAAAACGTCATTTAAGCCAATATGACCAGTTAGAGAGGGAATACAAAACAGAATACTCGAAACAAGAGTTTCAGCTCCAAAATGAATACGATCAACTTCGGAAAGAGGATATCCGTGCTGTGAAGGAAAATACGGAAAAGCTCGAAGCGTTCTGGAAAGACAGACCGTATGCTGCATACCATATTCGAGCTGCGAAAGATTCATACGAGAAAATTTTTATTGCAGCATTCAGAAGCTGGGACCTTGACAGGGATATTGCTCTAAAAGAGTGCACTAAGAATTTCGAGTCAAAGAGGTTATCTCTGGGGAGGTATCAAGGTTTGGAGGATGCCGAATTCAAGCAGAGAATGGGAGATGAGTGGAGAGAGTGGGCAAGAAATAAGGTCGCCGAAGTCCGATGGTTTGACGCTGTTATTGCTGAGAGAGAAAATATGTTACAGACTCTAGAGAATGAGCAGTATACAATGGCCACAGCAGAGTCTGAAAGAGGCAGAGCATTTTAGGCTTTATAACTATTTGTACGATGTAGGTATGACTTCGATATCGACATTGTCATATATCATTAGCTGTGCGGGGTGATAGAAGTTTGTCCTATTGTTCCGTCACACATTTGTGTCTGGAACATACATTTCGGAGACCACCACGTGATACCATGGCTTAGCAACATGGCTTTGGAGCCAATGAGGGAAGTTTTGGGGGGTTTATATCTGGTATTGAAGATCTGCTGGCCAGGAACTAGTTCGGTGTCGGAGATTAATTTCTCTTTGCATATGTTCTTGATTTATATATATCGATCCTCGTGGAGAGATCGGGCGAAGTTACAAGAGTGCATCACAGAAGATCTTTAAGTCATAATGAGGAAATTTGTATTTGTGATTTGGTGACCTTTTGTGAGAGATCGTGTGTGTTATGGGAGAATATATATGACTACCATACCCATTGAACTAGTATGTGATAAGAGCAACTTTCTTTTCTTTTCTATCTCTCTTTTCTTCTCTTAATTGACCATCTCAAGCTTACCAGATAAGCCAGGATGGTTCAGACATTCGTTTCCTTATTTTCTCTATTCGTATGTGTCAACTCTGCATTGTAAGTTTTCCTTCTGCAAATCAACTGAACAAAGTAGCTAATACAGTAACATTTTAGAATTCCCGCTTCATTACTCAACCGCGATGATCCTAGCCCAGTAATAGCTCCAGCGCCATCAATCCCATCATGTGCAATTCCATGCATTGCATCAGCAGTAGCCGCAGAAACGAGTTGTGGTGCCGCGGATCTAGCATGTCAGTGTGATCCTGACAATGCTAGTTTGATCCAAGGAGTAGCAACAAGCTGCGTACTTCAGGCTTGTGGAATCCAGGAAGCTCTTCGTTAGTATCCCTCTTTTTTACAAAATGAATGAAATGGAAAGCCCAGACTAAGACTGTACAGAGGTGCTGGATGATGCTAATGCAGAATGTTCTTCTGTGCTTGCGGCTGGAAATGCTGGTGCGGCTCCTTCCTCGGCAGCCCCTTCAGCAATACCATCTGCAGCCCCAAGTTTGGCTCCAGCTAGCACATCGGCAGCTCCATCATCTGTTCCCACTACTACTCCTATTGATTCTAGTCCTCCATCTGCAGTTCCATCATCAACTGCGGGCTCTGTTCCTTCGGCTGTTCCCTCCTCAGTACCAAATGCGTCACCAAATGCCACATTTGTTATCCCTGCTTGTGCGGATAGTTGCATTCAAAATGCTGTTGGATCCACCTCTTGTGGACTCACGAATGTTATTTGTCAATGCGAGAAAATTAATGCAGAGACTATTCAGGCTGCTACTGTTTATTGCATAACCGCCAATTGTGGAGATGATGGGGATTATATTGCTATTGGTAGGTCCTTCCTTATTTTCTTTTAGTATTGTTGTGTTACTTTTCAGTTGGCAGAAAAAGTTATGGAGGTGATGCTTGGATATCCCATGAAATGATCTACACATGTTGAAAGAGGTTTGAATATTCAATTCCACATTCGATGATAAGATTTCTGATGCCTTTACTCAACACTATCAACTAGCGAAGAAGATATTTTGGGTTGCTTCAAGCAAAGTACAGTTTCAGAAAGCTAACTTTTGTGTAGAAATCAATAGATTACAAGTTGACAATTGTACCGCATTGTTGAATCCTTATAATTCATCATCATCAATCACGGGCTCAGTAACAGCCAATGGACCAACACAAATAAGTCTTACCGGCAACCCATCTGGTATATCTACAGCATTACCTCCTTGCGGGCCACCTATTCCAGCTTCTTCAGCAGCACCCACGGGTTCAAGTCCAAGTCAATCGGATCCTTCTGATCCAGGAGATCCTACTTCTCCCATAAATCCAGGTGGAAGCTTTCCTACGGACCCACCAGGTAGTTTTGGAAGTGGTCCATCATATTACGGATATCCAACACAATCGAACCCGATTGATCCTCCCGGATCTCCAACATCGGGTGCTGGAGATCCATCGGGAACTGTATCCAGCACTCCGACTGATCCCGGATCAGCTTCTTCAACTAATATAAGTGCAGCCCCGTCGGGCGGATCTGGATCTGCACCCACTGATCCTGGTTCTCCAACGAGTGGTGGATCTTTCCCTTCAGGGGCTGGTTCTAGCACACCTACGGATCCAGTGTCAGCATCTTCGACTAATGTCAGTGCAGATCCATCGGGGATTACATCTAGCACGCCAGCTGATCCAGGATCAGCTTCTTCAACTGCTTTAAGCATAGACCCATCAGGGGGTTCCGGATCTGTACCTACTGATCCAAGCTCCCCAACAAGTGGTGGTTCTTTCCCATCAGACGGTTCAACTCCCGTAGACCCAGGATCAGCTTCTTCAACCAACGCAAGTGTAGACCCATCTGGGACTTCTGGATCATCATCAACTATCCCAGGTTCATTCCCTTCTGGCAGTTCTTCAACCCCCATAGATCCATCAGGAGGTACAGATCCTTCTGGAGTAGCTTCTACTACGTACCCTTCCGACCCATCTGGAGCTTCGAGCACGCTTCCTGGTGGAAATGGTAGTGGTCCAAGTTATGGATATGGATATGGTACTTATTATCCCTCTAGTATACCCACACCTACTGGAAATGGAGGTGATTCAAGTGATCCATCGGGAAGTGGTGGTGCTTCGATATCTTCTTCAGCTACGGGGGCGGTTTCTTCGAGTAGTCAGTCGATTGGAGCGCCTAGCACTTCTGGAGGGGATTCCTCGAGTCCGAGTACAACCGGTGGAGATCCTTCATCACCAACTACTTCTGTTGGAGATCCTTCCTCACCAACTACTTCTGGTGGAGATCCATCTTCTCCAAGCACAACCGGTGGAGATCCTTCCTCCCCAAGTACAACCAACAACGATCCATCTTCGCCTACAACCTCAAGTGGGCTAAACAATTCATCCAGCTTCCCCTCTGGAACCGATCCCTCTTCTTCTTTACCCTCCAGCTCAAACAACCCCCCTCCGCCACCACCTCCACCAGCCAGCGGAGGCTACTATGGTTACAACCCCGTTTCAGCGCCATCATCACCCTCATTCACATCGCCCTCCACCCCAGCTATCCCAACATCCCCAAGCGATCCCAACTCCCCCTCCTTCCGCCTCTCACTCCTTCCCTCCCGCTACTCTCTCCTCACATACATCATGCGCGTATACTTCAACCTCTCTCCCCCCTCACCCTTCATATCCTCCCGGGGCCTCACAACCAATTCTCGTACCTCCGCATGTATATTTTCCATCTCATCATCCGGCCTACTTTCCTGTTCCGGTTCCTCATCTTCTAACTCTCATTCTCATCCCGGAACTTCCGATAACATCACCCCCGATGCAAAAACGAGATATTTCGGAGATGAATTCGCACGTGTGTGGGACTCTGGGTATACGGTTTTACAGACTAGGAATAAGTTGAGGGATATGCAGGGTAAGGATTTAAATGGGACGTTGGTGGTGGATTCCACGAGTGAGTATCCGTATGGGAGTTTGTTGAAGTTGAGAAATGGGAGTTTATTGGGAATGGTATGTTGCTTTATTTCCTTCTCAATTCATTCTGATCGATTTTCGCATCTTCGATTCTTTCTTTTTTTCTTTCTAATGATGAGTAATAATATATACACAAACACTAACCCCCCAAATCCAGATAACCAAGCCCGTTTCTGCGCTCAAACATCATCTTCGGTTCCTTCAACCTATGGATCCGTAAACCCAGATACATCACAAAGCCAAACTGATGCGTTTTTGGAAGGAACTCCAGTTCGTGCGTATATTAACGGAACGCAGGGATTGCCTGCAGATTGTCAAGAGGTGAAATTAGTGATTGAATGGGTTGATGGGGGTGCTTAGGGTTGGATTGAGATGGGATGGAGGGAGAAGGGAGGAGACAATGGGGAAAGGGTATACATGGAAAGATATATGGATGGACATTCATTTGAGAGATTTATTTTCCTGATTTTCATTTGTGGATGGAGGATCTAGCGTGGTTGTTGTTTGAGTGGAAATTCGAGGTTAGCGGTTGAATTAAGTGTATTGGTGGATAACTGAATAGTAACCTTAATGCGGTAGTGTCGTGAACTATGTACGAATGTTTCACGATACGAACTCTAGCCATCTTAATGTGATCTGCCTGAAATTCTTAAACAAAATACTATCATTGAATAGATTCTACACTTAAACGCGTATCTATCAACGCTGAGAAGGCGTCAAAACCCATCCAGTCAAATAATGGAATAACAATCAAAATAGAATTACGCCCAACACCATCCGTTTTTTATCCCCAATTTCCAAAATTATGCTATCCTATCCTGTGCTACACCATGGTATATCACTTTTCCTTGTCCTTGTCCTACCAATGCATCCAACCAACCAATCCTTTTGTATGCCCCGTCTTAGTCCCGCCGTGCCATGCTATGCCGTACCCAACCCCTATACCATATCCCATCATGCCATTCCTCACCATATATACAAGTATCTCAAAGTCATGTTATGTATGTGCAATCTCCCCTCATCTGATGTTACAAGAGGAGATAATGTAATATCGAATATTCACATTGAATCGAAGCCTCCCTTTTTTGGTCTCTTTCTTTCCTTTCTTCTCTTTCCTCTAGCATTTCTCGTATTGTGTTTCACGATACCATTTTTCTTATCGTTGGAATCAGGTCGCAATCGCTTTCTGACCATCACTTTTCGTATTTCAGTCGTGCGTCGCATAACCCATGAATTCTTTTCCTTGTCGAAAAATGGCTCTTGCATTGTAGTGATGGTGATCATTAGGATGATTTTCGTGCAGCCTTTCGGGGAGACGAATGTTTTGATGATTTTAGTTCTTTGGGTTGACACTAGACCTTTTGTAGTGGTAGATGTATTTGATACTACTGCGGCGCTGGAAGCGGGGTTTCTGGTTGGAAGACGTGTTATGGGGTTGTGGGTTCTTGTGCTTGTTATTGGTAATGGAAGGAGAGGTTGTTGGAGGATAGTGAAAATGCTG